GCGTCTTCGGAAGACATGACAGCCAAGTGCGATGACCTGTGTGGCCTTGGATGGATTTGATTCCGGGAGAAAAAAACCCCACACACCTATAAAGGGTGTTAGTGGGACAGTTGTTAAAATTTGAATATGGATTGAGGATTAGATAACAGTATTGTATTCATATTAAATTTTGTGATTTTGCTAATCCTGCTGCAGCTCTGGAGAGAATGTCTTTGTCTTTGGGGAATTCACACCCAGGTGTTCAGGGCTAGAGGGCAGAATCTCCATTCCTCTCAAGCGATGCAGAACAAAACCAATATTCAAATGTTTTCAATACAGAGATAACAATGAAGCAAATAGGACAAAATGTAAACCAAGTGGTTGAAATTATGTCTAAAAAAGTTGCAGACAAACACACAAAGAAGGGGCACCTGGGTGGCTCAGTCATTTAAGCGTCTGACTTCGGCTCAGGTCATGATCTAAGTCGTGGGTTTGAGCCCCGCGTCGGGCTCTGTGCTGACAGCTCAGAGCCTGGAGCCTGTTTCAGATTCTGTGTCTCCTTCTCTCTCTGCCCCTCCCCCACTCATGCTGTATCTATTTCTGATAAATAAACTTAAGAAAATTAAAAGAATCAACAAAGAAATCTGGACATAGGATAACTTCTCTGTTTTCCACATTTTCTTTGATGAATTCATATTTTTATAGTTAATAATTATAATTATAATATTATAATTATATATTATACTCCCTACATAGACAGTATACTCTATTATCTATATAATTATGTTCTACTGACTGGCTGGCTCAGTCAGTAGAGCACGTGATTCTTGATCTCAGGGACGTAAGTTCAAGCCCCCGTTGGACGTAGAGTTTACATAATACATACATACAATAAAAAGATAATTAATAAAAAAAAGAATATCTATTAGTGATGCTGATTCTTTTAAGTGTAACTGGCAAGTTTTCTGGATCTGCTATCAAAAACTGTCAAAGTGAATGGATTAAAATTCATAGATAAGATTTTTATATAATTTTTTTCATGTCGGTACTTATTCAGTTCACATCATCAAAACATATCATGAGTATTTTTTCCAATTACAGTCAGTCTTCACCTTATTTCTTTTTATGAAGTGTTTAGTATATTCTACATCCCACGAAACAGATACTTTTTTAATTCTGTGGTTAAAAATGATTGGTAAATTGGGGCATCTGGGTGGCTTAGTCAGTTGAATTTGGCTCAGGTCATGATCTCACAGTTGGTAGGATGGAGCCCTGGATTGGGCTGTGCTGACAACGTGGTTGGGGCTCTATCTCTCTCTGTCTCTCTCTGCCCCTCCTCTGCTCATACTCACTCACTCTCTCTCTCTCAAAAATAAATAATAAACATTTAAAAAATGATTGGTACCTAGTTTCTCAAAATTCTTTTTGGGAGTCCATAAGCAAAATTGTGTGCACCCCACTGACATGAGGCATGAGTTTGATTCTGACAAGAGGGAGAGGCAGTCAGCACGGGGAGCCCCGGGGAGCGCAGGGTGATTGGTGCTCTGGCAAACAGAAGCTCAAGCCAGCTCCCCATCATTGGTGGAATGGCAGGATCCAGCCTCCAGGTAGGGTCCAGTGCAAAACGCTAGTTCCTGGGCAGAAGTGGGGAGATAATCTGACTTCCCAGAGGGGCCCTCGGGGCCCAGGGAGCTGGACAGGGATCCAGGAGAGCTTTTAGGAATAAGGCCCAAAGTGAGGGTTGGACTTAACAGAGAACACACTGATGCCAGGCCCTCAGGTCCTGGCCCTGGTCCAGCTAGGTGTCCTATGGTGGAAAGGAACCAGTTCCATTGGGCCCATGTCAAAAACCTCTGATGTAGGGGCTGGCTGAGTGTTCAGGTGGGTACGGGTGGGCACGGCGGGCTCAAGAGGCTGAGAACCAGGCAGGGCCTGGCAGAAACAGCCATCACCGCAATCAAAGCAGTTACACTCCTGGCTGTGCCTAGAACCTTCCAAAGTAAGAATAACATGTCCATTTTAAAGGAGTAGAAACTGAGCCGTGTGCTGCCTGAGGCCACCGTGGAGCTGAATTTTGACTCTAAAACATTGAGGCTCTTTCCAGCAAACCAGGTTGCTTTGCGTTCCTTCAGTCCCACACCGCTCGCCATCGGCCATCCTCGCAGCACCCCCCCCCCCCCCCCCCCCGCCCGGCCTCATCCCCTTCCTGCTAAACACATCTTGGACGCAGCTCAGACACCTAAGTGCATGATTTATTCCTGAGTCACAGAGGTGCTTTAACATCAGCTACCATTCGAGGCGGTATCCCGGCCCTGGAGCAGTGCGCGTTGAGAAGCAAGAGGCCGGAGAGGTCTTCCTAGGCCTGCGCATGAGCCTTAGAGAACGCAGGGGGCAGGGGACACCCTGGCATCCACTCTCCAGCATCCCTAATGCTGCAGGGTGTGGTGGTGGGTGCTCTGACCCTCCATCTTCTCCTTCTGCAGTGTCATCCCCCACCCTCGGGGGGAGGGGGCTTTCTGATCCATAAAAGCAAGGTATAGACCTCCCCTTCTAGAGCCTGAAGCAAGACGCAGCACTATCTAGGGGCTCAAGTCCTGTAATAGAGGGATGGCCGTTCCCCACTCATTTTGGAAGTCCCTAGACTATTTGCGTTATCTCTAAACCTGCGGTTCTCAAAGTGGGGCCCCAGGTCCGGCAGTGTCGCCTGGGAATTTGTTAGAAATGCAAATTATTGGGACCCACTCTTGCTCGACCTACAATCAGAAATTCAGGAGTGGGGCCCAGATCAGTGACTTAGCTTTTAATTTTCTTTTTTACGTAAGCTCTACATCCAGTGTAGAGCTCGAACTCAGGACCCCGAGATCAAGAGTCGCACACTCTACCAATCTACCGACTGAACCAGCCAGGAGCCACTCGGTGTCTTTTTTTTTTTTTTTTTTAATTTTTTTTAACGCTTATTTAGTTTTGAAAGAGACAGACAGACAGAGGATAAGTGGGGGAGGGGCAGAGAGAGAGGGAGACACAGAACCTGAAGCAAGCTCCAGGCTCTGAGCTGTCAGCACAGAGCCCAACACAGGGGTCGAACTCAAGAACCATGAGACCGTGACCTGAGCCGAAGTCGGCCACTTAACCAACTGAGCCACCCAGGTGCCCAACACCTAGATGTCTTAATTTTAACCAGCCAGTCCTCCTGTAAATCTGATGCACACTTGATTTGGAAACCCCTTTGGAAACATATTCCTTATATACAAAATGGATATTATCAGTGTTCTCAACCCAAGGGTTATTTTGAAGATAAATGACACAGTGCTAGGGTTCTCAATGAACAGAGTAAATGTCACTGTTATCTTACTAGTCACTGTTTTTGGAGCACAGGCAATTTCAGAGACTGGAGGAATCTTCTGGCATGTACTCTACTTGTTTCCTTCTTCCCCTCATCTGGGCTGGTCTCAGGCTGCCAAATCCATTAAGCTACACAGCAGCTTCTTAGCCTAACCTCGAGTCACTCAGGTGAACCCTGGCTCCTACCCATATGCCTGTGACAGCATCTCCTCTCTTGCCTCTGCTGTCTGCATTGTTGAGGAAGGCCCCTCACTGGCTTCCCTAGCCCACTCTTCCCAGTTACTCAAACCAACAGCACCTAGACCACATCCGTAGACTCCCCTGGTCCTGCCCCTCTCCCCCTCCCCAGGATGACCTCCAACAGAATGCAACTCTCTATTACCTCCCCCTCTTCTGTCATCCATCAGAAGGCCAGGTGATCAGCCTTGTAGATTCTAGACACATCCTTGAAGAGAAGGGGGCAGAGGGGGAGAGGGGCATCTCCTTGAATAGGAACCAAGCCCCAGCACCCTTCCAAACGAGTTGCATTTAACCCATTCCTTCCCACCCAGGCTTCATTTCACCTGTGTTACCAAATGAAGATGGCTCCTTCCTCCCTCCCTCCCTCCCTCCCTCCCTTCCTCCCTCCCTCCCTTTCTTCCTTCCTTCCCTTCTTTTTTTCTTTCTTTCTTTGAGTGGATTTGCACCTTTTCTCCATCTAACAGGCTCAGCAGATAATACATGTATCATTCAGTCTATGATTCAACATTCCTGATAACGCAGTAATAATAATCTATTAACAAGATAGGAGAGGCAGTCGGATTATCTTCTCTATCCCTTTTATCTTTACCTTTCAACCCCTTGACCCAGGGTCCCTTTCCTTTCTTTAGGTCAGGTTTCAGCTCCTATCTTGTAGCCCCAGGATAAGACCTTATCTAGATCTTTAGAAATGTGGACTCTCCCCCTCCCCAGACCCTCAGAAGCTCACCTGCATTTAACAGTACTGCCGTGTTTTACACTGTTTGAGAAGCGAGGCCTCTGGACAAAGTTCTGCACTAACTTACCAAGTGAATTCCCAAAGGGTCTGATTTAAGGGGTTGGGGGTGGAGCCCAGGAATCTGAGCTTTTAAAGCAAGCCCCCCACCTTGCGATTCTTACGACAAAATAAACTTGGAATCAGGGTCTGGGATGAGGACCTAAAAATAAACAACCTTCATACCAGTCAGGAGCTTTGGGGCACTCGTCTGTAGGTTCTTTGGGCTGAATATAATTTGTGACATCTGGGAATGGGCAGAGGTCACCTCTCCATCTCTTCTTAAAACATTTTCTTTTTTGGGAGCGCCTGGGTAGCTCAGTCGGTTAAGGGTCCAAATTTGGCTCAGGTCATGATCTCACAGTTTGTGGGTTCAAGCCCTGCTTTGGGCTCTGTGCTGACAGCTCAGAGCCTGGCCCCTGTTTCGGATTCTGTGTCTCCCTCTCTCTGACCCTCCCCTTTTCACGCTGTCTCTCCCTCTCAGAAATAAATAAAACATTAAAAAAAAAAGTTTAAAAAATTTTTTCTTTTTTAAAAATTCCAACAGTTCAGAAAGAAAAAAAGTAACACACATGCGCACACACGCAAATACACACAAGTTTGCCTATTGCTAACATCCAGTACCTGAGATCAGGGCAAGATTGCTTAAACCACTCAAGTGGGGATTATGAGTCCAAATTCCAAGATTGAGAGGGATGAGTGTCAGCTAGAAGTAGACACAGATTTGGTGACCCAGTGAGTCCTTCGACATTCCATGGCTACGACACCTCAGTCACGGCGCACGACCGTCCCTCTGTCTATCTGTCCGACACCACAGCACTACGTCCAAAGTGAGGAGAAGCAGATCTCAAACTCAGCCTTTTTTCTAAAACTTCCGGATCCAGGGAGTCCCCCAGGATCCCCACCATCTCCCTCAGGCAGCCAGACACCCAGAGCCGCCTGCTTGGGGGGGCTCCCCAGACAAGGGCACAATTTACCAGCCTGATCCGCCTCCGGCCCACCCAGATGAGGACAGCCAGTTTTTTAAAAAGCCATCAAATTCAATATTTGCCAGAACAATCCCATGCTTGGATCTAAAATTACTGGCCACACAAGGAAGAGTTTACTTCTCCTAACAAGAAAAACGTAGGCTTGTGCCTTACTCTTAAAAAAAAAAAAAAAATAATAATAATAAAATAAAATATTAAAAAAATAAGTTGCTTACTGCATGAGTCCCCTTTCCCTCCCGTTGGGGCTCCGGGGGCCGAAGCTGGCCCTGGCAGCCCCCTGCAGCTGCAGCCCTGTAACTTTAAACCTGGCCTGAGGTCATCGCTTTCCCGCTAGCCAAACAGAGGCAGAGGGCGGTCCTAGGGAGCCCTGGACTGGGACCACCTTAGGGCCAGCTGCTCCCCGCCCCTCCTCGGGAGAGACAGATAAATGCTGACTCCACTGTCGCTCTCTCTCGCAAAGTTTCCAACTGCAAAGTTTGCTCCCTGCTGCTGTGGGGGAAGGAAGCTTGGGGACCCCTCCCGCCCCGAGGCTTTCGCTCCCCGCCTTCCAGCCCCTACTCTCTGGCTCCACTGGGCGAGGGCCTCTGGCTGCAGAGCTTTTTAATCTTCCCCTGGCACAGACACCAGCTGCTCGGCCCCAAAGAGGACCAGTCAACCAAGAAGATGTGGAAGGTGCCAGTTCTGCTCTTGGTTTTGGGAAGCCCGTGGCTCTGGGTCCCGGCAGAAGGAGGTAAGCAAGACCCAGCGGAACGGCTCCAGGCAGGGTGGGGATAAGTGCGAGCTGGGACTTGCTGGAATGCCTGGGCCTGGTATTTGAAGTTGCCCAGGAGAGGAGAGGGGGGCTGGGAGTGCGTGTGTGCCCCTGAGTCTAGAAGACCCAGAGAAGGAGACACAGTGGCTTAGCTGGTGCCGGGCCCCAAAGCAGTGGCTGAGCAGGGTGCAAGGAGCCCCCGCATCCACAGGCAGCAGGGGTGGGGAGCAGAGAGGGAGGTCCTTGCAGGGCAGCTCAGCTGCCCTCAGCTCATGAGACCTAGGGTAGAAGGAGAGAAGCAAGGAGCCCTCCACTGGCTGGCGGGGCTCTCCTGTGAGGCTGTGCGTGGGAGGAATGCACATGGCTTCAGAGAAGTTGGCCCCGTGTATCAGGAGGGCCATTCAGCACTACTGGGGTGGGGACGACTCCCCTGTGCAGCGATGGTCTCCCTCTGGAGACAGCCAGGCCTTACACCCTGTGCGCAACGTGTTGGACACCCTGGGGACCCCATCAGTGAGACTGTCTGGAAGAGGCCTCAGTTATCTTCCGCGGAGAGGATCATGCTCGTAACAGGACTGAGCGTGTAGCAGGACTGGGGTGAGGGCTCCTGAGTATCGTGACGCAGTGTTGTGAGCCTTGAGGTATAAGTTGGTTTGGGGTCATGTGTTGAACTTGGCCAAAGTCAACGACTGAGTGAGTGTTGGTGTCTCCTTGGACTTTAACTGCATTAGATCTGCCGGTGGGGGCTCCACCTGCCCCGTCAGCTCTGCCTCCCCCTCCCCTTTCCCTCTTCTGACTCCCCCATCCCCTTCTCACCTTGCCTCTTTCTGCCTGGTGTGCGCTGGGGGGTGGGGGGTGACGTCCATGTCCATCTGTCTACATTTGATTTTTCTTGGGTTTTTGTTTCTATCTGTTTCCCAAGTAGAATATAAGCGCTAGAGAACAGAGCTCTGCCCTAGTCTCTCTCGATCGATCCCCAGGGCCAAAACAATATCCGGCATGTAGTAGCTGTTCACTAAATATTGGCTGGAGGAACTGTAAGCTAACTAGTGATCTTTGGTGTTGGAAGTTGCTGGAAGGTAAACTCTTGTATTTTCCAAATGGAGGATAGAGGAAGGTCTCATATGAGGAAAATCCTTCTGGGAGGGAGTGGCTTGTGGGAGGGGTGGACCTCACCTAGGCATCTATAATTCCACGCGAAGACAATAATACCCAGCCCTGGGGAAATTATACAGGGTGTATGACTCCCTGCCAGGCCGTCTGCTTCAGAGAGACTTGAGCAACTGTCTTTACAGGGCCGAGGGCTATTCGTGGCAGGTCCTATCTTTGGAACTTCTCTTTCCACTGGAGCATACACAGCTCTGCCCTTTGCTTACATTTCCCTTCTGGCGAGACAGTGTGCAAAGGACACCATTTTGTGCTCCCCGGGGCAAGGTGTGGGACAGCCCCAAACTGAGCCGCATCCCAATTTAGCTAAGGAAAGGCAACAGCCCGGCAGCATCCTCTGTTTCCTCCTAGGAAAGGGTTGGCTGTAATTATCCTGAAGCCAGTTTTTGAATGTCAGATGTACTCTAAGGGGAGTGGTTTGCCAGAGGGGTGAACATGACCTAGGCATCTATAAACTTTGTCTGAAAAAACAAAAAGCAAAAAACAAAACAAAAACAAAAAGAAAAAGAAAACAAAAAAACCAGCAGCACAGTTGGTACTAGAAACTCTCCTGTTAAAGGCAGAACCCCCCCCCCCACATCCCCCCACCCAGACCCCGCTCCTGCCCCAGGCTGTGTGTGGATGCTGAGTTGCTGGGCTGCCTGCGAGCAGCTGAGGCCCAGGAGGGGTTTTGTCTGAGGATAATGACTGAGGCGATGTGAATATGGATGAATAACTTCATTGAGCTGCGCTATTGTGGGTCCTGTTGGGGAGTTGGGCTGGGGGTAATTATGGGGATGAATTTTATTATCCTTCTTACAGGATCCTACTGCCTACTGGGCTTTCCTCCTCTGGTGTATAATCTGGTTCAGTTTTGTAATCTGGTCCCATGTGTTGTCGTCTCTTTGGAGCTGAGTGGATTCAAAGGGGCTCTGTTGTGTGTACATCTGGCATCAGCCTCCATTGTCAGGCCCCGCCCTCGCTCTGAACTTCCATCCAAAACACGTACTTCGGGGCCTAACCGTTACAGTTTCTTTTGTAAAATTCTGCAGGCTGCTGCTTGCTGCAGACCCACATGTGATTTTTCCGGGATCAATCCACCCAGGATTAATCATGCGGTGAACAAATTTCCCTGTGATTTCCCTGAAACTCTTGGCAGTTGGTTTCAGAGGCCCTGAGATCTTCATGAGTTGCTGAGAGTTTTTGTTGAACTTAAAGACATCCATCGAGCATTTAATAAACACCAGGTCTGTCAGAGCCTTTGCGAGGGAAGCCTATGCCTTACACTGGTGTGTGCGATCCAAAATAGCATTTAATGAAGAAAAACACATTTTTAAGAAGTATCCAAGCATGAGAAGGCTAAGTCAGGACTTGACAAATAAGGCAGGGCCCTGGCTGAGTGGAGGTATGTCACTCCTCTCTTTCTCTGGCCTCTAAAAGGAATGGTTCATGAGTAACTAGTGAGTTACCAGAGCCCCAAAACCTTGACGTAACAGTGAGCGATCTGGCCAAGTAGAGAGGACACCATCTCGCTCCCATTTACCACACCCACATCCCCCCCCCCCCCCCCCCCCCCCCCCCGCCGCCATGTGCTAGGCATGTCACGGCTCCCTCATTTAATCACGGCAGCTCCTCAAATTATACATTATTATCTTCGGAATATGCCAGCACTGGTTTTCAGAAATGGGTCTAACTCCAAACCCCAGGCTCTCTTCACTACACTGCAAAACCATGTAAGAACCAAAAGTTGAACTTGAAATTAAAGGTTCATGTCATGTTGAGGGCCTTAAACATGAAAATTTTAAAAATATATATTAAGGTAAAAGAAGTCCTTTACATTAAATACTTGTCATCACGTTCCTGTAAGAATGAAGATGCCAAAGTGTGTTGAAATAGGATTCATTAATTCATTCCACATATAGTAATCCAGCATCTCCTAAGTGCTTGGTACAGGGCCAGGTTTAGGATTGGAGCCACGTGTACTTTCAGGAGAGGCACACCTAACATTACAAAGCATTCCCTGAAGTCTTCCCCAGCAGAGCAACGGACGTGTGCTTTAAATTCCTTTGGCTTATCTGAATATTTGTCATATTTCTGGCTCCAAGAACAGGCATGCTAGGCTACAACGTGTGGAGATGTTTCAGGGGAGGATGTAGAGAGACGAAAGACTCAAATACCTAACACCACCTTGGTGAAAGTCATCTGAGCAATCTTAATAAGGTCTTGCAAGGCTCTCAAAGGAAACCGTGTCATTCCCGCCACCCTGAAACCCCTCAAGGAAATACCCAGCTTGAGCGATTTATTGGAAGACAATCAAATGATTGGGGGGATGGGGTGAGGAGCCTTTCTACAGCCAAGTCAACAGTTATCAAGATCAATCTTAGGACTCCCGTAGGGGTGGGTAAGAGATAAAGCAATCTTGACTGAAATTCTGAATCCATTCCCTATTGATTTCTTAAAACTTTAGGGGAAAGGAAAGAGATCACATATTTGATCCGAGGGCTATGAGATGGAGCCAGGTTAGGGAACAACTGGAATTCTCCCACTTCATCCAGGTGGGGAAAACGAGGTGATTGCTTCTTCCCTCCTTGACGCACTCCAGGGCCCATCAACCGCTGGCACCTGACGGGCGGACCAGTCCAAGGCAAGAATTCTCTAGAGCTTCAAAGATAGGGGTGGGCAGGCTCTCCTTTCTTTTTGCCTGGCTGGGTGCCTTTTCCTGGGAAACTGCTCAGGGGAAGTGGGTTTGCCCTTTGAGGGGAATCACACTCAGTCCAAACGGAAGTCTGCAGACCTGAACACCTCATTCACTTAGTTGTCTGGGGAGCTGCAGACTGAAATTGTTTGGGGGAAACGCTCTATTTCATGCAGAGAGGGGGAAAAATCAACAAAAAGATAATCATCTTTCTGGAGGATGATGGGCTCTCGACTTGGGGGGGGGTAGAGCTGCCAATGCCCCAGGCAATGGAGAATCACTGAGCTCAGGGGGGTAATGACTGACATCATTAACATTTATAGTATGCAAAATATCGTCAGTTACCGGGGGGCCTGGGTGACTCAGTCAGTTAAATGTCCGGCTGCGGCTTAGGTTCATGGGTTCGAGTCCTGTGTCGGGCTCTGTGCTGACAGCTGGCTCAGAGCCTGGAGCCTGTTTCAGATTCTGCGTCTCCCTCTCTCTCTAACCCTCCGCTGCTCACACTGTCTCTCTATCACAGAAATAAATAAAAAACATTAAAAAATATTGTCAGTTATATAGACTACAAATAGGAAGCAGGGAGGGGGCGCTAGAAGATGTATAAACACATTATCGACGAGAATGCGGCATTTTCCTCCAATTCATTACAATATCTCTATCCAGGAGAATAAAACACAACTTAACATTAAAAGCTGTCATCCAATGAATAGTATCCTGCCTGAGGAAGAAGGTGTCAGTTTACTGAGAATCTAGAAAGGGAAAGAAAAGTGGTGGGGATTTGATGACCGTAAACTTGCCTTGCCCAAGGAATTCATTTATTTACCAAGTACGTATTGAGTGACTGCTTTGTGAGTCAGGCAAGGCACATGTAATCCCTGTTTACAGCTAGTTTGTGAGATGTCCTATGTGAGGGTGTGGGTGTTCTGATTTCAGTCACGGTAACTGTTCTATGATGAATCAGAGACCCCTGTTCCATCACAGTCTGGAAATGTATTCCACCCAAGAACCCCACCCTTTGCCTCTGTCTTATAAACACCAAACAGCTTCCCAGGTATTTTACTCCTGAGAAGGGTATGCTGTGTAGAGCACGGGAAACTGTCTCCTGTTGTAAATAAACTATTTGGTTTCCTGGCCTCTT